ACAAAACCAACAAGAATGAATAATGTGCCCTTGGGGGGGGGGGCATGATAAATTTAGCACTTATGGCCCCAGCCAGGTCAGGAATGCACAGTGGACTCAGTAATGCGCTGAATACATGGGGTAACTACAAGTTATCCCTCATGTTAGTACTCAATATTCAAATTTAGCAAATAACATAAAGAGGTTTGACAACATTTTTTATAACACTCAGAGTTTGTATACAAATACTGCTTATGAAATAATGTATATTTTACTGTTCCCTATAACATTTATTCAAGACATTTTTGTCACAGGCGAATATTTAGCAAGATAAACCCAAAAATATATTTAGGCCATAAAATACTGTTGAAATTAAAACAAATTAGTGAATGAAACTCTCATGTGGTAATTACATGTAACAGAGGAGCTCTATATTGAACCTCATTAAAATCTGTCAGAGAATTTAAAAGATATAAACAATGAAAATGTTACATTTAGATCAACGGTTCTCAAGCACCTTGGCTGCACTTAACAGTGAGAAATGTGTCATGTGGCCACATGATTTAAAATATAAAACTTCTACAAAACAAAGTCTGTATGAAAATTAATAGTAATTTATAATTTAAAGCAAAATGTGAGGAAAATGTGATTATCTTAATTTACAGCAGCTTGCAGAACATGAATATGATCACATCATAATACTGCAGCTAACCGAAGAAGAGTTCTGCCCGTCAATTTACTGCAGTGTTTGTTTTTCAAGAAATGAAGGTGAAGGGTTGCAACTGTGTAGCACAGACTCATAGCACCAGCACAAAAAAGTCCATAAATTTAACAACAATATAAAATAATTTGTTTCAAGACTGGGAAATGTTTTCAACAAAAAACTTCAGTCAGAATAATGTCTGATGGCTGCACAAGAAATCTCTACTGGCCATACTTGAGAGTTGCTGATTTGGGCCCTGCAGTTGATTTTAACTTATACATAGGTAAGTCAATAAGTAAGTTAGTAAGTTAGTTATTTAGAGAGGGTGGGTTTCCCCATGCACCGTGACCAGTTTGATCTACTGTGCTTCCCTCTACGATATTCTACCAGTCTCTATACCCTACCGATAAATGGTGCGTACCATCAGTCCCGCCGAGCAAGCGAGTTCGGTCACTTGCTTAGCGGTGTCTATAATGCTTCCCCCATCTATCAGAGGCCTTAGAGACTATTGTTGGGCGGGAAACGTCCTGGAATTTGGCTCAGTGATCCCCTTTGGGGATATGAGGTTCTTTTACGTGCCGTAAAGTTACGACACGGGACACACAGCTTAAAGTCCCTCCCGGAGGACTTGTTCCCTGAATTTTTCCGCCCTTAAAAATTCGACGACCTCCGCCGGGTATTTGAACCCGCGTACCACGAGTCATGAGGTGGGAACGTTACCTCTAGACTATGGAGGCCGCTTATAAGTAAGTTACAAATAGATACAGAACTTAAATAGAGTAATGATTTGAAAAATGCTTTTATTTCTCAACATATTCTCCCTGTGCATTGAGGCACTTGTCCTATTGTTTCACAAGCCCCTGAAAACCAGCAGCATAAAATTCTTTGGGCTGCTGTCGGAACCAGGCAGTGACTTCCATTTCTACAGCTTCATCGTCAGGAAAATGTTCAGCCGAAAGATGATATTTAAGAGGCCCGAACAAATGGAAGTCGCTTGGAGCAAGGTCAGGGCTATATGGAGGATGCTAGAGAACTTCCCACTTGAAATTTTGCAGCATCTCATTTGTCTTGTTGGCAGTATGGGGATGCACAGGGTCATGCAAGAGCAACATGCCTTTGGTGAGGAGTCCTGGTCACTTCCGTGGAATGGTCTTATGAAGAATGGGTCTGGCATTACAGCATCTCAATCGCTACCACGATGGACACGATATGCTAGCCCAAATTGTCACAGGTGATGAGTCTTGGGTTCACCATTACCAGCCCGAGACAAAGCATGTGTCAATGCAGTGGAAACATCCTGCGCAGCCTGCCAAAAAAAGTTTAGGGTGACACCATCCTCCAGGAAAGAGATGCTCACAGTCTTCTGGGATCACAAAGGCATACTGCTCACCACATTCCAGCCTCAAGGCCAAACCATAAATGCCGACTCCTACTGTAACATCGTCAGGAAACTTCATAAGGCCATTCAACAGAAGCGACTAGGACTCCTCACCAAAGGTGTGTTGCTCTTGCATGACAATGTGCATCCCCATACTGCCAACAAGACAAATGAGACGCTGCGAAATTTCAAGTGGGAAGTCCTTGAGCATCCTCCCTATAGCCCTGACCTTGCTCCAAGCGACTTCCATTTGTTCAGCCCTCTTAAACATCATCTTTCGGCTGAACATTTTCCCGACGATGAAGCTGTAGAAAGGGAAGTCACTGCCTGGTTCCGACAGCAGCCCTAAGAATTTTATGCTGCTGGTTTTCAGGGGCTTGTAAAATGATGGGACAAGTGCCTCAATGTACAGGGATATTATTCAAATCAGTACTCTTATTTATTTAATATGAAGTGCTTTATACTGTCATTATGCAACCTACTGCTATATTGTAAGTTGAGACTAAAACCAAGCATGATTGGTTAACATGTTTTAAAAGGAACAATAAGCAGTGGTAAGTGGTTTTAACAGAAGTTAAAGACTAATAGAATACTAAGATTCACATTTATCCTACATTCTCAATTACATTTAGAGACATTTCAGGAATCTGTATTATTATATACAGCAAAATTCCCATTTGGTGCTCCTCTGGAAGACATTGTATTTAACATATAAACAAGAAAGACCTTAAAAGCAGGGAATTTAACATTCAGATAATTAAGGTGCATTTTAAATCAGGAAACGTTAAATATGGATTCCACTGTCCTAAGAATAGTAGCAGGTTAGTTTGTTCAGTAATGAACCAGAGAAGAAACATAAGATGAAGAAATAAAAATAAATCAGAAATTTCCAATTCCAATAACTTTCACAAACTAAAAACCAACTGAAAAATGCTGTACACGAATTTAAGAAATTACTTAATCTTGCCACTGCCCTTATATAAATTAACTTTCAAGTAAAGGCACCACATATAATCTCTATACATATAACCGTTTTCAACTGAGACGCGTATTTGAACAATATTCTGACTTTATGGGTGTACTTTCATCAACTCGACATAAACTTAATTTTCAAGTGGATCCAATAAAGACGATGCATTTTACTCAACAAAATTATATGGATGAGAACATTTAATTTTTCCTTAAGCTATGGAATCCTCACTTATAGTTGTTAATTTTATGATACCAAATAGAAATCTATACATGAGGATTCCATAGCTTAAGGATGTATGGCAGTACCTGTTTCCTATAAAAGCTATGTTTTGTTTCTTACGACATTCACATTAAAAGGTAAAGTTATCCCTCTGCTTACTTAATTAATTAAGCACCATGTCATGAAGAAGTATGTGGGAGTGGAGGTATAGCTCCACCATTCTTGACCTCAGCACTAGATGGTCATCAACGGTCAGATTCATGTCCCAGCTACTTTACCCCTGGGAAGAGAGCCCACAGTACCCACTGGATAGGAGGCTAGGTGGGCCCTGAGTTTGTCTGGACATTGTGGAGAAAATCTTTTGCCTCTGCTGGGAATTGAACCCAGGTTGTCCCGTCTGTAGCCCATGACTATAGCGACTGAGCTATCTCAGCTCCTATAGCACTCACATTATTAAATGATGTCAAAATTATTACAAATGATGTGAAACTGCCACTAATGCCTGCAGCCAAAATGCAGCTAACAAAATTTATTATTTAAACATCACAAAACAACTTACTTGGCTGAGCTTCTGATGTTTCCTCTTGTGGCACAGCTGCATGTTATAAAGAATTTGATCTAGTTCAGTTTTGTAATAAAACAGGAAAAGTGTCAAACAGCATAACAGTGAAAACAAGTTTACACACAATTGCAAGCATAATGACTTACCACTCTCCGTTTCTCTCACTCCCCTATCTTCAGGAGTGCCACCCTCTGGACAAAAATAATGCAACAATAAGCAAACACAAATACAGAATAGTTGCATGCTTGAATCATAAGTTTATTTCCACAACTTACATGAGTGCAGACTTCCTTCATGTTATGGGAAAAGTTCAAATGTAAGTTATTTGGTTCTTAATTACACAAGGGAGCATTACTGGATTATTGCCATCACCAAAAAGCATGCAATAATATTCAAAATATTCTTAATACTTAAAACAATAATTATTAGAGTATGCTTTAGTAATTTCCTTCAAGAAACTAAAATCTGTTACACAGAAGTAATAAGACATTTGTGACAATTTATTAATACCCATGAAACTGTTATAACATAGCAACAGGACTCAAGTGGTAATGCTTCTGACTTCTATTCAGCTAGGACACCAACTATCAAGGCTGAAGATTACTGTCACTTTCCTCAGTCCCTCCAGAAGAATGCTGGGATGGTACCTTAAATTAGGCCATCACCACTTCCTTCCACATCCTTTTCAATTCATGATTCACCAGAATCACTCAACACTATATAGTCCAAGGTACTGATTGACTAACTCCAAGGAACAGAGTCCTTCTTCAGAAACTAATAGTGACTCAGCTAGTCAAAAGAAATTTTGGAATTTTATGGAACCTGAAAATTCATTATGCTCAGAATGCCCATCACTGGTCTCTATCTTGAGCCAGATGAATCCAGTCCACAACCTCACATAATTGTTTCTTTAAATTTAATATTAATATTATCCTCATAGCTGCACCTAAGTCTTTCAAGTGGCCTCTTCTCCCTCATACATGCTACAGGTCCCTCATACCATCTTCCCTGATTTCATCATCCTAAGAGCATTTGTCAAGGGATACAAATTTTGAAGTTCCTCATTATGAAATTTTCTCCACCTTTCTATTACTTCTTCCCTCCTAGTTGCACATAGTATCCTCAGCACCCTGTTCTCATACATCATGGGATGGAGTGTCCTCTCTCAGGTTGCACATCAAGGGCATAACTACCAGATATACTTAATAAGCACTTATGGGCAGCTGACAAGGGGTGGTTTTCCACCTTGGGGGTTGGGCAGGAGGCTGACAACTCCTAACAAATAATAGCATGTTACAGGCTATCATTCAGGGCCTGCATTACTGTCTTCTTAACTAAAATACAAAATAAACAAAAGCAAAAATAAGTATTCAATGAAGTTATAATCATACATCACTGACTGGGTTTTCTGGCAGTGCACCATAAATGCTTGCTTGAATATGCGTGTTTGGTTTGAGAACAGTCAGCTCTCCTTTGTTATGGCCATTTACTTTCTACAGAGTTGCAGATTTCTTGTTTGAGGCAAAATATTATGACTACATGCCATGTGCTTACATGGAGGTAAACTTTAAAGTTACTTGGGTTACAATCAAAACACAAGCACCAAAGAATACAAGCATCAGAGATGAAGCTTTAACAGTCTGATAACAGAAGCTAAATTATCAGATAAGAAATGAAGACAAAAGGAACACCTCAGCCCTATAATTAAATTGGATCCTGAATGTAAACAGGAAGCAGAATCTCAAGACACTGTTATAAAAGATGGACACAACAGCAGTAAACCAGAATGGAAACTACATTCAACCTATGATGATGACAAAACTCAATATAACAATTCACAGTAATGCAGCAAGGGAAATCCTAATTCAGTCTTATTATCAACATGTACAGTAAAGTCTGTATAGGACAACACCTGTCTGATAATTATCAGACAGGTGTTGTAATTTTCCTGTCCAAAAGTGGCCTAAAACAAGGACATGCTTTATCGTCACTGCTTTAGAATATGCCATTAGGAAGGTCCAGGAAAACCATGTGGGACTGAAATTAAATGTGACACATCAGCTGTTGGTCTATATTGATGATGTGAACCTACTGGTAGATAACATAGATACCTTAAAGAAAATCACAGAAACTTTACTTGATGCTAGTAATGAGGTTGGTGTGAAGTAAACGCAAAGAAAACTTAGCATACGTTGCTGTCTCATCACCAGAATGCCAGGCAAAATCGTGACATAAACATAGCTAACAGATCCTTTGAAAATGTGGCACAGTGCAAATATTTGGAAAAGACAGTAACAGATCAAAATTTCATTCAGGAGGAAATAAAGAGGAGGCTGAATTTGGATAATGCTTGCTACCATTCAATCCAGAACCTTTTGTCTTCTTGACTGCTGTCTAAGAGCACATAAATTAAAATATACAAAACTATAATTTCGCCTGTGGTTCTGTATGGGTCTGAAACTTGGCCTCTTGACATTAAGAGAGAAACGCAGACTGAGGGTGTTTGAGAAGAGGGTACTGAGAATATTTTGACTGAAAAGAGACTGGAGAAAACTGCATAATGTGGAGCTTCATAACTTGTACTCTTTGCCAAGTATAATCAGAATGATCAAGTCAAGGAGGATGAGATGGGCAGGGCATGTAACATGAATGGGGACCAACAGGAAGACCAAGATGTAGGTAGATGGATAATATTAAAATGGATCTAAGATTACAGGATTGGATGGTATGGACTGGACCTATCTGGCTCAGGATAGGGACAAGTTCAGGGCTCTTGTGAACATGGTAATGCGCCTTCAGGTTCCACAAAATGTTGGGAAGTTCTTGAGTAACTGCACAACTGGCAGCTTCTCTTGTTAGCCTCAAAATGTTATTGCAATATTCTGTGAAACATTATTGTTTCAAGCAATCCCCTGTACATCTCTGTACAATAAAATCATAATGGAGTTGTCACCTGCATGAAAAATGATTATTTTGAAAAGCTACTTCAAAAATTTTTTTCAATATCTGATGTCACAACTGGACTGCGTATATGCGACACAGCCTAGTCTATTTCCATCAAGAACAGAATTTTTTAAACTGATGTTCTCACAGCAGTGACTACGAAAATTATGATCTTGTGGGCTGCAGTGCTATGTAGTTTTGTGAAGTCCACCAACATTTCAGAAGAGAATTTATCATTTCCATCTTCAGAGTCAAAGATAAATCCAAGCGACCATGAAGCTGGAGGCAACAGGATCTTCCAAAACGTTCGTCAACTTCTACCAAACTATCCAGTGTTTCAACCTAGATCATACTCTTCAGGAAGGGAAACTGTTTGTGAAACACTATGTACAGGTTCAGCTTCATGGGACTTAGAGTGTCTGAAGGACCAAAAAGCATGTTAACTGACAACTTCTCAAAATTAAATACCACATTAGATAGGAATAATATTCTGACTTTTGAAGGAAGGGGTTCAAAGCCTAGAAAACATATATACAAATGAGACAAACCCTCTAATTAACTGAAAATAATGCAGCAGTTATTGTTGCCTAAGTGATTTTGATGGATAACACATTCAGAAACTACTGAAGAAAGTGTAACATAATCATTGTGTCGGCTAATTTCAATGGTAGACCTACAAATACCTGAACCAGACTGAATTCTTGCAGGAAACTTGAATGGCCTGGACAAATTCTACTTGCATTATCTGCATTAGTTGCGTCCTGTTGTGTATCTCAGACAATATATAATATGTAGGAACTATGCTACCGCCAGCACAACAATATTTCAGTAATTACATTTAGATCTGTATTTACTGCGACATGTTTCAGTCATACATGACCATCATCAGGCAGCAATTAGTATAGTTATTGAAAATACTGATACGGATCCCTATCGGTGCAACGAGTCATATAAAATATTAACATGAAAACTTTACCTCAGATTTTGTGTATAGTTAAAATAGCAAATACATGATTAAGAATAAAGTAAAACATAAAAATGTACATATATAAAATGTTTAAAATATTATTAAAACATATTAAGGTATGTTACAAGTATATAATAGTATATTAAAAGGTATTAACAAAAACTTGTTAAATTACTTTAGTTGGCATACAGTTCCCTAACCTCACATGTTTTTGTTAATACCTTTTAACATACTTTTATATACTTCTAACATACTTTAATATGTTTTAATAATATTTTAAACATTTTATATATGTACATTTTTTATCTTTTACTTTATTCTTAATTATGTATTTCCTATTTTAACTGTACATAAAAACTGAGGCAAAGTTTTTAAGTTAATATTTTGTTTGATGTGTTGTACTAATAAGGATCCCTATCAGTATTTTCAATAACTATACGTATTCCTGCCTGATGATGGTCATGTATGACTGAAACATGTCGCAGTAAATAAAGATCTAAATGTAATTACTGAAATATTGTTGTGTTGACAGTAGCTTAGTTCCTACATATTATATAGTCTACCTGCATTGCACACATTTAAAAATATATCCACAATACCCAGACCACTGGCCAAAGATGATATAGCCATCAGTCTATCATATGTATGATTGTAGAAAACAGGACATCCCGAACACTCAACATCAGCAACACCATCTGTTATCATGTTCTCCCTTAGCACCCATGTACAAGACTGGCAAGTCCCATGGCTTTTCAGTGAACCCCGGGCACACATGTCCACTCAAAGTCATTTCACTGTTGCATCTATCTATATAAATAAAAATGTAAATGTTCATTTGTTCAGGATCCTAAATCTCTGAAAGTTCTTCACTGATTGCTTAGAAATTTTGACACAATGTTGCATTCGAATGCACGCATGTTTTTATATACCTATTATATAGATGTGACACCTGTCATGGGTAAAAACATGCTTCTTTTGAAAAACAGAATTGGAATTTGGAATTCAGAAGAGTCACCCTTATGGAAACGCTAGAACAGACCGTTGCATAGGAAGTAACAATAGTACTGTATCGAATCTCCATGGTTACGACGAATAAACGGAGCGTTCCCACAGAGACAACGCAATAACAATAGGTCGTTGCACAGGAATCGTGGAATCAACAAAGCAGCATTTCTGCGGTTATGACAAAGGCTTGTTTGCATAGCAGCGGCCGAGGGTATATAAGGGGGTTAAATTCATTCGCCCAGTCAGTCTTGGAATAGCTGCCACTGAAGAAGGTTGGAACCTAGACGCCAAGAGATACAGAAGTATTGGCCGAGAGACTGTGTAACCAGTAACTCTAACCCTGCAAGTGGCGATAATTGTAAAGTGTGCAAGTGAATTACAATAAAGATTCGCTATAATTAATACGGCATAAAGTTATTTGTAGCGTGACATACCCAAACACGCTACATGCATTACTGATGCATGCAACACGTCACATCCACATCAAATTCGTGCATTGTTTGCAATCATATCGACTGCCTGCTCTCCTTCATCTCCAACAGAGTTATGAGAGAAATATAAATTGCACATGGCTGAAGATATTTTCCATCGAATACACTAGGAAAATTCCAATATGAACATGGATTTCACAGCAGAAATCTGCAACGAAGCGTTGATAATGACTGAAGATTTGTGCTTAGAAATCGCGAACAAAGTTCTCATTCAATTGGGAATGCCATCACCGAATCGATCTGCTGCTACTTCGTTCAATGTAGAATTTCGTCGTGAACAAAATTACAACACGGGTGATCTTTTGTCATATGTGCAATCAAATATTCCTAAGCTAACGCTTGAGCAGAAAGGCATTTACGATCAAATAATGCAAACTGTCAAAAACAGCGTTGCAGAATTCTTCTTCTTAGATGCGCCAGGAGGAACTGGTAAAACGTTCCTAATTAGATTGATTCTGGCAGCAATTTGATCCCAAAATGACATAGCCTTAGCTCTTGCGTCGTCCGGAATAGCTGCGACATTGCTACCAGTTGGAAGAACTGCTCATTCCACTATGAAATTGCCACTGAACATGCAATTCATTGAAACTCCCACATGCAACATTTCCAAAGGATCAGGCATGGGAAGGGTATTGCAGAAATGCAAACTTATTGTTTGGGATGAATGCACAATGGCGCACAAAAAATCGCTCGACACTCTTCATCGATCATTGCAAAGATTTGCGTGGAAACATCAGACCATTTGGGAACTTATTAATATTGCTTGCAGGAGATTTCAGGCAAACATTACCTGTAATTCCTCGATCGATACCAGCGGACGAAATAAATGCTTGACTGAAATACTCTACTTTGTGGCGACACGTAAAGATGTTAAAATTAACTACAAATATGCATGTCCAGCTGCAAAACGATCGATCAGCTGAGATATTCTCACATCAATTGCTGGAAATTGGGAACGGAAAGGTGCCGGTTGATCTGACCTCAGGACGAATTTCGTTGCCTCATAACTTCTGCAATTTAGTGACGTCAAAAGAAGAATTGGTTGAAAAAGTATTTCCCAATATTCAAACCAATTATAAGAATCACGATTGGCTGAGTGAACGAGCTATTCTTGCGGCCAAGAACAAAGACGTCTACGAACTTAACAATATCATTCAGTCTAACATTCACTGCGAGGCAGTCACATACAAGTCCGTCGACACTGTTGTGGAAGCAGATGAAGCGGTTAATTATCCAACAGACTTTTTGAATTCACTCGATCTGCCACAGCAACGCGTGGCCGGGTACAGCTAGTATATCATAAAAGCATAAAACTATTTAGGGATTCAATGTAACATAAATGTGAGCTGAATTAAGTTTTCCAATTCACTTATAAAGAGGAGATACCAGGGGAAAAGCAGACGAACACTTTTCTCTAACTAGTTGCAGGGTGTAGGATGCATGATGTTTTACCTCCATGCTCCTATTTGCCTTAATGGCATAGAGCTTCAGGACCTTTATTCTACTATGTATATGAGACAGAAATCTCACTGACTTACACCATCAGTTATATTACACCCATACAAAAAAAAAAAACAATTCATATCTGATTTATATATACATTATGTAGGATAAAATTTGATTGTGCTTCTTGGCAATGGCTATTCTCTACGGCAAAAAAAAGGCCATTAATCACACATAATGTAACAAGGGATTACAGCACATGAATGTGAAGCTTAAAATTCTATGCTGAGGTTTTGTGACAGTGGTAAAGCAATTTCCAAGAAATCTGAGTTATTATCATTCTTTAGAAATGAGAACACAAAACACTGTAAAGAAATGTAGTAATAAGAAATGCATAACATTTACACACAAGGACAATTATGAGATTTCGATGCCCACTTCCAAGAGGAAATATTAAGAAATGCATGTGAATACAAGATGCTTGTTCCCTCCTAAACACAAATTCCACACTATATACTTGTAATGCCAGTACAAAGTTCTTCGACCCAGAATACGTACATAATTAACATTGGCAATCAAGACCACATTTCTTTACAATTCAATAATCTAACATGAAAACTGAAAACATTTTTAAAACTTACCAGAACCTATTGCCCCTGATTCGAAACCATCTTGGCCAAAGTTATCAATCATCTCAAAGCTGCCAGTGTGATCTATTTGAGGAAGGGCCGACCCTTGTGGAACGAATGAACCATCTACAGGCAGAGCAGAAATCACTGCTTTGCCATCTCACATTTCACATCAACAAGCAAATATACATGCTATGACATCCAATTAAAACTAAAAAGTAGCACATATTAAAAAATAAACAATCATTCTCACTTCAACACAGAAGAAAATAGAGCTACAATAAAAAATGTTAATTCGATTTTGCACAAGTTCAAGAACAGTGACAAACAAGTAACTGAAAAACAAATTCATTCTCTTAACATAATGAAACTTAATATAAATCAGCCACAGTAAACCAACTAACAAGAGTGGAAAGAGGCGCGCCTATGTGTCCGTATGCTCACTAAAACTGTATTTCATATAAATTCTAAAAGAAGTTCAGCATTTACATTATATGTTCATAAGAAATTATTTCTCGTTATGAATAACAACTCTGGGTATGCCATTAAACAAAATCACAGTAAAGCGCCTGCCACAACTGAGTGACCCTTTGTTCTGCTTTTGAGTTTCATCAAGGACCTCATGTATCAATATTTATCGATACTTATTTAATCTGAAGACTGTTTTAAAGACAACTTTTATATTTTTACTGGCTACGCAAAATATTTAGGGGGGGGGGGATCTTAAGGTACAAGATATTTCAAATAAAGTTTTTTACAAAATATATTGTCACGTGTTCAGAATCCAGAAGACACTTCCATAGTAATGCTAGAACAGACCATTGCATAGATAGCGACAATAGCGGTATTGTAGCCCCAACAGTTGGACGTTGCGTAGGTATTGCAGTATCAACAAAGCGTATCCCTGGGGATAGACAACAGAGGGTCGTTTGCATAGCAGCGGCCGAGGTTATAAAAAGGGGTTGAATGCATTCGCCGAGACAGTCTCAGGATAGATGCCAGTCTGGAAATAACAGCCTAAGAAGACAGTGTCGGGGCAGATGCCGAGAGATACAGAAGTCAGTCTTCAGGAAGCTGCCTCTGAAGATAGTTGGAACCTGGATAAGAAGAGCTACAGAAGTATTGGCCGAGATATTGTGTAAGCAGTAACTGTAATACTGCAAGTGCTAATAGTTGTAAAGCATGTAAGTGTGAGTGTCCAATAAAGATTTGTTGAATCTGAGACCCACGTGAATGTATTTGTTGCGTGACATACCCAACACGTGACAACTGGTGTCAGAAGTGGGACCAATTCGGAGACTGAAGCGAATTTGGAAGAATTATTGTCCTAACACCACGCAGAAAAATGGACAGGGAAAAAGTGACGGAATGTCTGTTGGCCAGCCAGGAACAAATGGTGGCCAGACTGAACGCTGATAGACAGAAAGACCAAGAAAATCTACTGGCCAAACTAAAGGGAGACAGACAAAGATGATTTCCTGGCTAAACTAGACACCATGCAGGCATATTTGACTACATACATATGTAAATAAAACTGGTAATCATTTACTTTTTCATTACCATTTATGTTATAATACATTTTTTCTTTACTTTTATGATATGGGACACCTGCATTTAAATCATAGCTTAGGGTCCCAGTGTGTCTTAATCTGGCCTTGAACATATAAAAGCTTAATACAAATTAATAATTTAAGCATCAAATGTTATAAACTTCACAGATACTAACAATGAACCCTTCAAGAAACGTCTTCACTTAATCACATGTTCAATATGGCCACCATTTTGCTGAAAAACTTCCTAGAAGCATGACATGACAATGTATATCTTCGGAAATCTCTCTGCGCACTTGGACAATCATAGCTCTCAGGTCCATGAGATTAGCATATTTATTCAGGTAAAACTTCTCCTTCATGAAACCTCACAAGAAAATATCACACTGATTATGATATGGACTGAAAGGTGTTCAAAGTTCCTACAATAATGATGCTCGGATTACCAATGCAAGATTACATGATGCTGGATATCCAACACCACATTACCAGTGTGAATTCAGTGCTTCATTAATGTAATTTTAATCTCTTACTAAATATCTGAACTTCTCCACATTTTTCAAAGGCTTAGCAGTGACATTTGTATGATGAATTTCTACATTTTGATGGTGGTACATGCCCATATTCTCCAGGTTGGGGGTTACGGGTTGGACACAAGACCTTGCTCTGTAAAAAATTATTGTTGCAAGGTCAAAAGATGTGAAAACTGGATGGTCCAATTCAAGACAAGTCCAGCAGAATCTTCTACGAAGGCTAAAAAGGGCTCTTTTTACCAATTATGATGATGATTATGATGACAATGTTGACAATGACTATGAAAACAAAAACCTGTCCATATACTTAGCTTTCTTTGTGTTTACATCTGGAAAACCATCTTACTGATGTTTTCCAACGACCATCAAATTCAACAAAACTGCAGAAAATATACGTGGTCAGACACAAAAAAACGGGACTAACCCTATAGCTTGGGAACCAAGAGTGGGAGGGGACAAAGAGATGGTTATAGAGCATGTTCTAACCTGTCACTGTGAGACCACTCAACTCCATAGCTTTACTTAGTATGAGTGGACACGTGTTCAAATATAGATGTTTTCTTACACTCGGTCAGCAAATGTTGGAGTGCAAGAGTGAATATGGAGTTAACATCAAGTTTCTTGTGAAACTGAAGAAATCTGTGACGGAAACTTTTCAATTAATGACTGAGGAAACCAAGTGACAATCAATGCAGTGGAAGTCAGCAACATCTCCAAGACCAAGAAAAGCATGCAAGAGCTGTTCGAAGTTCAAGACCATGTTGATTGTTTTCTTCGATATCCAGAGTATTGTAATGGCAGAGTGGTTCCCAACAGCCAGACGGTAAATCAGCAGTGTTACCCTGAAGTCTTGATGAAATTGGGCTAACATGTGAGAATGAAACGACCAGAATTATGGGGAAATGGTTGGATTTTGCGCCAAGACAATGCGTTGGCCCACAAAGTTTTGTCTGTGAAGCACTTTTTAGCTAATCACAACATCACTGAGCCTGAGCACTCACCTTAGTCACTAGATCTGGCTCCCTGCAATTACTACCTCTTCCCAAAAATCAATTCGGTGCTCAAAGGAACCCATTTTTTGTCGGTAGAAGATGTGAAAGCAAAAACGATGGAGATTGTCAACAGCCTTTCAGAAAGTGATCTGCAGAATTGTTTTGAATGTTGGCAGCATCATATGCAGCTGTGTGTCAACTCAGGACACTATTTTGAAGGGGATCCCAGTTGAGTTTGTGGATTTGTTAAATAAAAAGAGATACAGGCACAGTCTCTTTTCTTCTGTGTCTGACGACGTATTCATATTGGAAACAATCTTGATCAGTTTTACAGAATTAAGATTATGCAGTCATTTTATTTCTAGTTTCCTCCAAAATGTTTGGAAAATTGCTAGTGATAATGTTATTAATACAAAATTCAGCAAGTTCAAAATACTGACAACTTTCCTATAATCCAAGAAGCATATGACAATATGAACTCTGTACATTAGAAATAATATCATAAATTCTGTAAATCAGAAGTAATATGAGTAGTAAATGTGTAAATGTTTACATAAACCTATCTTTAGAGCACTACTACAGAATTATTCTGTGTTTGTATGTAGGTAAGTCAGTAAGTAATTTACTTACACAAATAAGCATACTGATTTGAAAAATGCTTCTATTTCTCAACATAATCTCCCTATACATGAGGCACTTGTCCCATCATTTCACAAGCCCCTGAAAACTAGCAGCATAAATTTCTTTGGGCTGCTGTCGGAACCAGGCAGTAACTGGGATCACGATGGCATACTGCTCACCACATTCCAGCCTCAAGGACAAACCATAAATGCCAACTCCTACTGTAACATCCTCAGGAAACTTCATAAGGCCATTCAATAGGAAGGTCAATAGGTCAATACCTAAGAGATAATGGACATAGAAGTGTGAAACTTTGACAGGTGTTACACACTTGTTGATTACCAAATACATATATGACTAGTGTGAATCACCACACTCAAGGACAAACATAGATAAGACTTGTCAGCTAACAGGTACAGTGCATGGACCTGCCAGAAGACCACACTTTTCTCGGGCCATTATCTCCGTAACTGTTCAACTTTGGACATAGGTGTTTTGGGTTATCTTTAAGATAAGGAACACCCTCCCAAAGTCTGGCACAAAATCCAGCTTGGACACCCTGTATATATATATATATATATACACACAATATACAGAGTGTTTCACGACTTTAGGGCATAACTGCAGGAGGTGATTTCCTAGGTCTTTGTGATCAAAAATATATATATATCATATATATCATATAAACGTGTCCGATTTTGGACGGTTACGGAGTTATGATCGTTTTTTCATTCCCATACACGCCCTTGTGTAAACCATGTCTGTCAGCTGTTGGGTCGCTATTTTTAGCCAGCTACAGACAGAGCGTTCTCGTTATCTCAACACTTGAGATGCAGTACCTAAGGCGGGGTGGGCTGGTATGTCCAGCGCGGTTCACAACCGAGTGGCAGCCTGTGTTGCAGCCGGCAGTGGCATTTTCGAAAATCAGCTTTAAGCACCAACAAATTCAAATTAAAGGTAATTTCACGAAGTTAACTTTACATTCATAATTTAAATGCATCATATATTATCCTGGTTTATTATTTTGTTCCGCTTATTGTCAGTAATCGTTACAGTCTATTCTGAGTTTAAAATGGTTATAACTCCGTAACCATCCAAAATCGGACACATGTTTACGAGAACTTTGTTTATCACAAACACCTAGGAAATCACCTCCTGCAGTTATGCCCTAAAGTCGTGAAACACCCTGTATATAGTATATACAGGGTGATTCATGAAGTTTTACCCCAGCTTATGGTACATATTATTTCCTGCAAAATTTCCTTATAAACTTTTGGTCGATTTGTCAATAGTTACGGAGCAACAATAGATTTTCGAAACACATCATTGTGAATGCAGCGCTATGATTCAGCGTGGGCGACCATACGTTCCAGTCAGCTATGTCAGCAGATAAGGTAGACCAGTTTGAATGTTGCGCGTAGGTAGATAGGCAGAGTGGTTCATACGCGTGCAACGCATTGTGTTGACGTGCAGGGAGACATTTTTGAAAATCTTATGTAAATCCAGTCGTCTTCTAAAGCACTACAGTTTAAAGGAAACATATTGATAGAAGGGTGTGATATGCAACCATTGGTATGTTTACAGACTGGGATGCTGAAAATAATGTAATTTTGTAACATAAAATCAATGAAAAATGTTGCACAATGCAAAATTAAGAAACTGAAAAGAAAAATTTGGTTTTAGAATGCTTCTTTCATAAAACATTAATGATTTAAAAAGTGTTTGTATTGTATTTCTAATTTGTTTTGACCAAAAATCGAAGAAAAAAAGATTTTTCGTCCGTTTTCAAATTACTGTATCTCTTTAATTATGAGTTGGATATAATTAGTATATTAACATTTTTTGTTCCAAATTACCTCAGGAATGCCCTCCCTAAGTGGGGGTAAAACTTCGTGAATCACCCTGTATATTCTTCTTAGAAGCTGTGTGAGATCTTCACATGTTAATCTTATTGACAAATTATCCTACGTGTTTATATAGTGTTTAGTGACTGGCTGTGGCTTATATGGTGTGTTGTGTTGGGCCTATGCCCATATAAGTCCAATGGAAAAATTGGTAGATACAGGTACTCCAGCAAGCAGTTTCCCTTGCCTCTCTATTCTCACACCAGAAGTCATTCCCAACACAGTACTGTGATAACATGATGCTGTGCAACTGCATATGTAGCCTGCATGAAGGAAGGGAACAAGGCCCAGACCAGTGTATAATGGATTATGATATAATTGAGTCAAGTTAAGTAATAAGGTGCTGCCAATGTAGTTTTTTTTAAGAACAAAATCGAAAACCTGATCTTAAAATGTCTACATTGCTAAAAATACCACAAGCCAAACTTCAGGTCTGTATTATTTTTACCTATAAGGTTTCATGCCCACACACGTATAGTTGTATCCCATGATTTGATCAGCCAACACACTGTGTGATGTCTTTGGTCTCCAATAAGTCTGAAGGAGATAAATACTGGGGGAGCTCAAAGGGAACTGTGCCTGTATAATATAACGGCAGCTCTGCGGAAAGTGACACCTGAAATACAAGAGGGAGTGAACACTGGCTAGTAGCTCAATACACTAAGAGTTTACCAGCCATCCTCTTACTTTTCTTTTTCCAACCTGACGGCTCCTACAGTTAAGGAAGTTACCAAGTTCGGACAATATCACTTGGCCCCATTAAGCATATCCGATAACCGTATGTTAACTTGCAGATATAAACAACGAAATGCTAAACCTACCAAATTACAGATATATAACATACCATTTACTGATGGAAGAACAACAGGATTCAATTCATCTTCCAGTCCAGCAAGTTGATCGTGCTCACGGGCTAGGAATTCTGCTGCTGGATCCACTTCGGGCTGATCAAAATTGTCACCAAAACCCTCCATTCCTGAAATAAGTTATTAGAGGTTATAATTATTATAATTACAATATTGTATACGCTACTATTACGAATAAACTCCGGACTGTAACAGCATACTTGTCACAAAAATCTTGAACTTTCCTTACTGACAAACTGCCGGAAATAGCACTAACCCACCCTCCCTCTTTTCCACAGATTAATAAAATGCTCATTGTAACACAAGGTATTGGCAACGTTCACAAACAATGGTGACCTGTAGATCTATTATATGGTTGTAGATAATATTTATTTTATTCTTCTCAACGCATTATTTTTAACCGTCGAAGTTACTGTCATGTTTCGGCATATGTGTGCCTTCTTCAAGTCATATTTTTTCATTACAATTAATGCAGCACGTATTTTGCATAAATTTGCATTCAATCCGAGTCGATCCAGTGATGTATAATGAGTACGATTCATTACCGCGACGCAACCGCGATTTTCAAGAAATATCGCCAATTTCGAGCAGGCAACTGGTTTCCAAATTTTGCAGGCGCACTTACAGACAGTCGGAGAATTGGGAACTCGAACTTTGTTTCGATCTGTGTGCTTAAAAAATATGTTCGGATATTCTTCCGTCCGGCCATTAAGGGCATTAAGGGTAAGGATGCTCATGGTCGCAACGGAATGAAGTTGATTCCAGAGAAGTTGCGACGCGCGTTTTAATCTTGAGTTATTATCATTATTTCCTTGATTTTGTATAACCTGTTTTATTCTTTATATTAGTCCTGTTCAAATGGGCCAATTTTGCAGTTCGATCAGTCGTGACGGTCGTGACTGTCCATGATATGTCTTACATGGGAAACTGCTGAATTTTTTATTGTTTGTGCCACGCCTTTTGTCTGTACGAACCGCTTCATTTCTGTATATTGTGTACGAGTTTGTTTTCTTTTTGGTGCGCTGGCTATTAAATATTGTTATTGTTTTCTTTCGAGAGCCTGCGTCTTTATATTGTTCTCAGTAAATGCTTGGATACCCCATTACATCCCGGGGAGAATTGTTATGACGACAACAGAGCCAGAGACGAAGGCTGCTTCTCCCGAATTCTACCATTGTGAACACTAGTGGGTAAATGTACGAGAGAGAGAGAGAAGGGGAAAAGTGTTTGGTTTTCCCATTGTAATGCAACGAAACATCTGTTTTCCTTTCATCTCCGGGGAAACGTTTGTTGCTTAAGGTATTCCTAGGCAACGGCCTACTGTTATTGCGTTTCCATAGAAGTATTGCTTCCGGATTCCCGGCACACGACTCTTATGTTTCTTCCTTGATGTAAGAATTTGTGGGAACTGTTCACATTCAAGGAAACGCTACAGCGACAGCTCAGGTACTATTGCTTAGCAAATGCGAGTGAACAGTCATTGCTATTTAAGGTCTACAATAATGTTTGACTATGGGAAGCAGACACAATGGCTCGAGTGCTACCCAATCGCAGGCTAGAAACCATTCGCTGCCTAGCAACGGCTGAGTACATAGAGTTGCGTTTCAGCAGAACATTCAAGGTGGTACTGAGTTCACTATTGTTATTATATTATTAATCTTCAATTCTTCAAGTACGTCTTAGTATACTGTATAGCCATGAAAATATTATAGAACACTTCAACAAGTGGTTTTCTCTTCGTACATCGGCTTCCCACAAACTGAAATTTTACATCCATATAAAGAAGCAGGTAATATTATTCTTTAATCTTTACATTTTACACAGAAGACAGGAAGGTAAGTGATTCTGAATTGTGTGGTGAGAAACATTCCCTGAATTGATTTCTTTTTTTCCTTTTGTCGCTACAGCCCAAAGTTTGGCCTTGGCCAACCTCCATGAAACTTTCCATTTCACTTCGGTTTGCTAGATCTTAGTGCTTTGCTCATTTTGCTAGATAGTAAGTAGGATATTTGTAAGACTGGATACCCAGGTTAAATGCCAGGCGGCTGGCTGGAAGGCAAGGAGACAGAACCGCGGCTGACGACTCGCTTTCCTTGTCCGTCGATTGCGCTGTATTTAGTAAAGATTGTTTACGCATCAGTGGAATGACCCGGTCAAGTTTCACTCGCACGACAGTAAATCCTTCAACAAGTTGCTGACCTTTGGGGTTTTGCGCGAGCAGCCTTTCGTGAGTTGAGAAAATGTTGAATTTGGAATTGTGAAGTAAAAGCTATTTGAGGCATTCTGTTTCATTTCATTTCATTTCATTTATTTCATATCCATGGATCATTATACATGATATAAGACATGTCATTCTTGTGTAGTTATGGTATAATAAGTTTCATAATGTTACTATTGGGGGGGGCTGCATGTGAAGCATGCAGTGCAACGTGGAATTTGGGTACCAACTCAGCATTTGCTCTGGGACCAAGGAAAACCACGGAAAACCTTGATCGAATTGGCCGGTCACAAGACCTCCCAGATACACTGGTTTCTAGCAGCACCAGTCCCACCGCCTCGGCTCCATATCCCATAGTCCCTGCTGTGTTTTCTCCAGGACATGGCGTCCTGTTTCCTGCAAGAAGAGAGTTACGCAGTATACACTCCTAGTGTGTGTTAAGCTAAGCTCAATTGTTCTTACTTTCAAATTATTATATGATCCTAATGTGAACTAAGTCTTGTCCACATAGGAGAGGAACTCATCTATGCTATAAAAGCAATGTTTTAATAGAAATGTTTTCAAAGTAATTTTAAATTTACATAATGCTGGTATCTCTCAGAACAGTCGTGCTGAAACAAAGTGTGCCTGTGGGAAGGAGTTCTGATAGCGCCATTGGTCATCATTATCATTATGATCAGCACGAGTGAGTACTTGTACTTGCCCGTGATCGGTTCACCGATTGATTGTTAGAATACAGATTCTGGTTCAATGGTGGTTAAGATAAAAATAAAAATTGTTACTTACTGCTTAGTAGATTATGGTAGGTAAATTGAAAGAAGTTAAATATACGGGTGTAGTCGAAGGTTGTGTGTGTGTTTGTGTGAATTGTTGATTTGTTGTCTGATGTAATTGTTTTTTGTTTACTATAGATCACTTATTGTTGTTGTTTTTCGCAAGGAAGTTTTTTTTGCGGGTACCCTTATGCAAACATATTTTCAACCGCACAGGTTAAGAGAAATGCATGGATGTCCGATTGGGGGTGAATACTGTCACTGACCTCTATTGGGGCACAACATTAGACAGGACACCTTGGGCGGGTGATCAGCTAGTCGCCAGGCCTCCACCTATACACAAACACTAAACATCCATGCCCTGAGTGTGTCTTCATTTCCACGATCCCGGCTTCTGTGCAAGCAAAGACAGTGCATGCCTTAGACCGTTCTGCTACCATGACCAGAATATCTTTTGGAATAAAACATTAAAAGTATAAAATGTTAATAATATATGGAACATACATGTCATCCATTTCAAAGGGTATACTCCTGATTGTTGTTGCCTATATTAAGAATGTATGTTCCGCATGAATCTGATATCCCATGTGCATGCCTGTGGGATTGTCACAGGTAAGGCTAGCTCTACAATATCACAGCTTGTGACCAAACTGAATGTTAAATGCTCTTTCTCCACAGGATAATTCTACAATTAAGCACTAAAGGACAGTGGAAGGACTAATACAAGATTCCCATGCACACTGTTCCTTTACTTGATGCTGACATGAACAAACCGAACATTCCTCCAAATGCAGGCCCAGAGGTTATTGACTTGGAACCAACTGCTTCAGTGATAGATGATGGCTTATCGCCACCAAACAGGCCTGGAATTATGCCTGGTAGCAGACAAGTAAGCAGACATCCAGAGATATGTTTTATTGCCACAAACACTCATATTCTCTTCTGTTCAGCTTATTTAGAAGACTGTTGGAAGTGTGTTTCTAGTCAGTTACATACATTAATTACATTAAATTGAATTTACAGGTTGTCTGTCTTACACCATCATGTAGGGTCATCATGATGATATGCATAGCATTAGTCGCTGCCAATCTTAGCCAACTTAAGTATGTTTTGGAGAGTGGAGATGATATCCTTTTTTATTACGTTGGTCTCATCTCGATAAGCCTCAGCATAATTCTCGAGGTAAATGCTTATTAATTTCAAATGCAATGAACAGTGTGAGCCAAAAGTCTGACACTTCTGCATATTTAATCATTTGTCACACCTTACACCATACAAATTCATTCGTTCTTTCATTCATATTTTCTGTTGCTCCTTCTGAAGCATTGGGCATCTGTGAAATGCTTCATTTCAGTTCGGTAGGACTCCTAGACAAGGGATTCGCCCATCTCAAAAGCTGCTGCCTACACCCAGAATAAATGCATACAGACATCTATTCCTCCAAGTGGGATTCGAACCCACAATCCCAGCATTTGAGTGAGCCTAAGAAAACCGTTCATGCCTTAGGGCCCCCATACACACACAGTTTGGCCTCCAGTTCGGCCTGCACAGTTGAAAACTGAAAGGCAAAACTGACGTGAGTGGTGCCGCCGCCCGGCCAATCGTTTGGACTGTTCGCCTGTGGGAAACCCGTCACTCTGTCAGTTCTGCCTGCAGGACTGTAGCACGTGACGTGTGACTCATCACTGGAAGACCGTGATTGTGGCATGAAACCTGCCGCTTTATCTGCGCGTGTATTGGGAGGAAAGGGAAAGTGTAAACTGCCACAGTTTTGCCTGTAAGGTTGATCGGAAGGCCAAACTGTGTGTGTATGGGGAGCCTTAGACCGCGTTGCCACTGGGATCGGCCCATACACTTTAGTAAATTAAATATTTCCATTGGTGTGAATAACAAAATAAATCATAGTAATATGAAGGCAATATATTGCTGTAAACAGCTTTATTTTTGCTAGTCTGCAGGTTCCAACATATATACATATTTTGAAATCAGTGATTCTATTCATTTCCTTTTAGTAATTAAATCTCTCATGTTGAACATTACTAGCTTTTTCCTCCCTCTTTCCATTGTGTGGTCGACAGTAGTACTATCATCAATGTTATGATTAAGAGAACTCATCAGAAGTGGGGAAGCAGAACTATGCTGTAAACCTCAGATCTTTGGAAAATGAATATATCTGACAATATAAATTCTTTCATGCCCCAACATGTAAAAAGGTTAACTGATAATGTTCAGTATAGGTGATTGTGATGTGTCTTCAATGCTTAATATAGTATATTGTAATGTGTATCGTTACTGAAGACCCCATTTAGATTGTTAATTGGTTTATTTAACAACCTACCAGTATCGGCTACAATTAATTACAAAAATGTTGCGAGTTTACACCCTTTACAAACCCTACACACACATCTCTGCACACTGTCACGATTCACTAGTTACCAATAAACTCGATGACTACTACATTTCAATTCACTTCATGGGCTGCTACACTTTAATTCGTAACTGCTGCCTTGGGAACTCACTTCGGCGGCTGATACACTTTATCTCATTCACTACTGACTGGAGAACTGTCTTCGGCCGCTGATAAACTTTAACTGACAACAGCTGAACTTGGCGACGGCCACATTTCAACTCGGTTCGTAGGCAGTGTGGTTCAGTTACTCGTATATTGTCGCAGCGGTTGCCTGTTACGCAATGGGTACCGCTGTTGCCTGATGTCATGTCGACAGCGGTGTTGCATGCCATGTCACAGTGCGGTGGGGTGGGGACAGAGCGCTGACTCACCTGCCACGTCACTGCTGGATAAGGAGGGGTTGTCCTCCATTGCGCAACATTTCGCAATATGTTAGTATAGTATATCAGCCAAAAGTCCCAGATCTTGCCTAAGTTGCTAACAGGACCTCAGTTACCCTCAGGATGGATTTCATCACCAACATCCGCCTCCTTCTCTTTGATGGGCAGACTCTTCACCGTCATCAAGATACCTCTTTCAGTTTTACCCTCCTAGGACACACATGAAAACCCTCAAGAGCTAAGAGCTATATTTACTTGACATCAGGAGCCAACATTGCCCTCCAGTGTGAGAGGAAAATTTATTTTGGATTACTGTTGGCAAGAAGTCTACAGTCACTCACTTTCTTTTACTGACAGGAACAGCTTGCTCCCCATTGCTGCATTCGAGCTGAAACCTAAGTTCCTTACAGAAGAGCCTCCTTTCACTGACCCACTTCATTGCCACCCTGTCCAATTGCTCTTCTTAATAGGTTATTTACCCCTAGCAAGAGATTCTTATACTCTTACTCTCAGTGAACCCTTGCCATAGCTTTTGACAGATCTCTCCAATACAGCAAAAAATAAGAAACCCAACTTCTGGGCACTTCAAAGCAGGGAAGAAACCCTCACCCCCTCAGATCACTTGTGGCATGAACTCTGTGCTTTGCAACAGGGACAACAGAGCTCCCAACTGGTCCCACATAAACTTGGTGTAACAACAGTGTTAAGTAGCCCATTTAAAGTCAGCTCTCATTTTGGAAGAACATCACCTCTATCTTCAGGGTTGAATAAGCTGAGCAAGATACCACTGGGAATGCTGTCAGTTGACTTTCAATAGAATACACATTGTCATATCCCAGAAGATACTCTTCATAAGCACCGGTGTGAGAACCTCAGATCCTGTACAGTTCCTGTTTTCTTCTGGGTAACATAACGTTGAAGACCAGAATGTGAGTCCACACTGCTGTGAAAATCTCAAATGCCATATAGTTACTGTATTATGGTTCTGATTGCATGAGGGTCAGTTTTACATAAATTAACTCTTAATTATGCAGACTCAGCCTTACAAAGTTAAACTTTGGCAATGAACATATTTAATACAGTTAATCTGAGTCTAAGTTCAAGTTATATATATTGTAACGTGTTTTGCTACTGTTGATGCCGTTCGGATTGTTATTCGGTTTATTTAATAACCTACAAGTCGTAACTACAATTACTTATGTCACAATTTATAAATCCTACACAGTAGTCTGTTTACACTATCTTCAATAGTCTTCACATATTAATAACGCGGGAGCTATACAACTGTTGTTGAATTACACACTCCCAATTTAACTGTACTACACTCTCGCCTCTCATCACATGTTCCGGTCTTCTTCACGTTCACGATTCACTCGCTACAACTGAACTCAGCGACTGCTACAATTCAACTCTCTTCGGCGGCTGCTACATTTTAACTCACTCCTTAGTCCAAGTCCAAGTCACATTGCGACAAGTCAGTAAGTCTTGGTGTCAAGCCCCATGTGGGGCTCATGACCAGATATTTACTACTGTTTGACAGTTACAGTCTCTCTGATGAGGTGACGGGTCTTTCTTTTACATATGCTGCTGGTCTTTGCCAGCGTAATCTATTTCTGGTCTGAGTCCCTTGGGGCTCGCAGCCATATTTTACTCTCTCAGATTTGAGACTTCCCCTTTTGTCACCTCCTACATCTCACAGGGTCACGGTGGAGGTATTCGACCCCGCCTCCACATGAGCACTCACTCCTTAGGCAGTGCAGTTCTCTTATATACCCTCAGCCAGACAACGGAAAACGCCACGCTTCCCTGTTGCCCAATTACCATGTTTACAGGTGTTGCTGGGCAACGCTGCCAAGAGTTGTTTATCGCCGCGTAGCAACCAGTGTGTGTCGGCTCAGCTCGGCTCACTTTGGCTTACTCGGCTTGGCATGGAGAAACACCGCTTTTCTTACTGTTGCGTAACCTGGCACCCAACCGTTTATCAAGGGCCTGTCTTCGTGGTAACTCGTTCTACCTCCCCTTGCCCACAACGGTTAGGCATGTCACAATATATATTGTTGCGTATCGGGCGTAGATCGCGACAAATAACTTCACGCCGTATTTTATATAGCGAAGTTTACTTCACATCCACTCTCACAATCACCCAAATTACAGATTTACGATTACTGCTATCTGCAGTATCACAAATAGTACACTCCAAATGCCAGAATACAACTGACTGGCTGACTCTACGTCTCGACTCGGCGGCTGTCACTGTACAACTCACTAGTACAACTGAACTCCAGCCGCCGTGCAGCTCACTTATATAGCTGCAGTGCTTGCTTGTTGCGTAATGAGTGCCACGTCATCCGGTTACGTCACCGCTGTTGACTCGCATTGAATAGTTACCAGGTTATGGGGGCTCGGCTATCTTCGGCTCCGCTCGTGACGTCACCACGCGTTGCATAGCTACCATGACGCGGGGTGATTACTCGCCTATTACGCGAGCGCTACGTTACCGCTGGGGAGGTAGGGTTCAACATGTCACAATATTATGGCGTGCTGCTCAAAAGCCGGATTATACGTATGAGCAAGTATGCGAAAGAGAAATTCACTGGATCCAAGACCGGCATGAAGTTATTTGTCGCATCACAGAGCCAACACGTGTCAATATATTGTGAAAATTCCCCATATTTCTGAATGCTGAAAGAGGTGAAAAAATGAAAAATGATATAGCCTACTGAGGTACATGCTCTTGCCAGCTGTTTTTAGCCTACTCTCTCCTTACTTAAATAAAAGGACCAGGTTTATGAGATCACCAGTCAGTCTTGATGTGGTGGAGAGAAAATCTGTTATCCTGCCATGTTTGTCCAGCATGTGTATTTACAATTGCAGGCAACAGATTTTGAGTTGGCCCAAATATAATGATGTGAAAATGTAGCTAGCCCGTGGGCTAAAATGAATTTATATTGTCACGATTTAGGACGTGTGGTGACTATAGATGGGGTATAGATTGGAAATTGGATTTATTGACACAACTCGGAACTACAAGTAATTACAGTGCTATTGCTGATCTCCACACTTTACAATTCACTACAGCACTTGAGCCTTTTCTAGCCCACTGTCTTGCAACAGCTGTTCCCTGGCAATGGCTTCTAATGGTGGAAATTCTTCAGCTTCCTGTGTTCAGGTCCTTCCTGTGCACCGAATATTTCACAACTAAACACACTCAATCATCAACTGAACTGCAGTGCCATCATTTCTCCACCTCTCTTGCAGATTTCAACTCTTTTGACTACCAAGTCACAGCTCTCTGTCAATTATCGTCTTACCTGCCCTGGGGTCCTTGATGTATAGCCTTGGGGTGGACCCAACACAAAACACCACTTTTAACAGTTCCTATATTGTTGTATGTGGAAAGACAAAAGTAATGAAAATCTCGAGACAACCAACCCCAGTCACAATAAAGATAGACCAAAAACAACTGGAGAATGTGACATGTTTTAAATATTTGGGTAGCTTGTTAACAGATGATGGAAGGTGTACTAGTGAAACTAAATCCAGGATTGCCATGGCAATAGCTGCATTTAGCAAGAAGAAGAATCTTTTTACCAGCAAATTGGACTTAAATTTGAAGAAGAAACTAGTGAAATGCTACATTTGGAGCATAGCTCTGTATGGGGCTGAAACATGGACACTTAGGGCAGTAGATCAGAAACNTGCCAGCAATGGTACCCAATACTTCCCCATCTACCGGAGGCATTGGAAACTACTTGGGCAGGAAAATTTGCCNCGAGGTGTCTGCACAGCAACGGGTCTCTATGCCACAATATGTTGGATTATAAATTTACGTCCTCTAATTGTGGCATTAATGGAAGAAAATTTGCAGAAGTGTAAGTCAGTGCAACAGGAATTATTATTATTATTATTATTATTATTGTTATTATTATTATTGGAGGGGGTGGGTTTCCCCATGCACTGCGACCAGTTTTGATCTATTGTACGTCCCCCTTTAATTTCTACTGTCGCCATACCCTTCCAGTACTGGTGCTCGCTATCAGCCCCGTTCAGCCAGCGATGCCAGCAATGGTACCCAATACTTCCCCATCTACCGGAGGCATTGGAAACTACTTGGGCAGGAAAATTTGCCCAATTTTGCTCAGAGGTCTCCTAGAGACATGAGGATCTTTTATGTGCCGTAAATCTACAACACGGGGCACACGGCTTAAAGCCCCTCCCAGAGGACTTGTTCCCTAAATTTTTCTGCCCTTAAAAATTCCATGACCTCCACCGAGTTTGAACCCGCGTATCTTGAGTCGTGAGGTGGGAACGTTACCCCTAGGCTACGGAGGCCGCTTAGTGCAACAGGAAAGTGGGTTTCATGAATTCTGCCTGGTAATCTTTGATAAAATGATGTTTGCTTCTGCTATCAATAAATGGTAAACAACATACAAATGAAACAGATATTTCTTGACTGAATGAATAATAAGCCGTTTATTGACTCTATTGCTGTTTACATTTTGGGGTGAAAGAGTTTCACTCCTGAAGTAGGTATTTCATTTTGTTTTGAACACAAAGGAATGTTGAGGCACTTAATTCTGAAAAATATCAACACTTTCTTGATTTTAATTTCCATTTTCACAACCTGCTAGTGTGTCACAGCCTACAGGTAGAAAACACCTGGTATGAAAGAACTGCTGTTTATATAATTGTAACCAATTTAAATGAAGAAAATATTTATTTTGGAATATCAAAGTGAATCTATGTCAGTAAAATAAGAACCTTTGTTACTATATGTCTGCTGAGTATTTAAACTTTATTTAGTGTTGATTTAAGGTAATGTATTTTGTGAACAGGCTGCTGTTTTCCTTGGGATGATTTTCCGTGACCTTTACAATGAAGAAAGAGAAGTTTGGAAACCTTCCAGCCTCAATGCCTGCATAATAACTGGGATAACCCTTATTTTTTTCTTTAATTTTGTTACCATAAAATTTTTGATTGAGTTGGACAAAATCAATATGGAAATGTCACAATGAACTATACATAATCAGAGAATGGAGGAGAACGTAGTTATAAATATATTACATGCTTGAATCTCATAATTTTATATATGGTTGGTCTGAATCTTTGTAATAATTTTGAATGTGATTGATCTATATATTTGTAATATATTTCACTTTTCATATGGTGCTAATGTATAAATGCATTCATGGCAAGATACTTAAATGTCAGTTTGAACCTTCGACCAAGAAGCCATGGCTGAACTGTCTAATGCAGGCAGCTTCAATTAGAAGGGTGAACACTTCTCCTTACTGTAATCTGTGAACATTTCTTGATGGTCATATGATGTTTATTGGAGCCAGTACAAAATATCTGCAAAGAAGTAACAAGGTGTCACTGCCACTCATAGAGGGCATTGCCTGTAGTGGTTACTTCTGCTGTTGCAGTGAGTATGTTACAAAGTGTGGTCCTTCAGTCCTATACTTTGTGTCAGTACATCTAATTTTACAGCAGCCAGTGTTTTCTGGTGATATGTAGTACATGGAAGTATATGCAAAGCAACATAATGACACTGACATAACTGAGTAACACCTGTGGACTTCAGAAATTGTAGTACCAGTTCATAATGGTTTACCTTTCAATTGGAGCATGCAGTAGCCTACTTTGTCGAGGCATTATGCTACAAGCTGGAAGGTCACGGGTTTGATGCCTGATGAGGTCACTGCATTTTTCAATTGGCCTAACCCTTCTTGCTACACTATGGCCCAGGTTCGCCTCAGCCTCTAAAAGAAATGAGCACCAAAATTCTTCCTGGGCCTAAAGGGCAGCCAGCAGGTGAGGCTGACAACCTCACCACTGTCTATGAGACACTTGTCTAGAAAATTTGGAAGCCCTGTCATCTTGAACACCTGTGGGCCTCCATGGCAAGTTACATCGATAGCTTTACCCTTTTTCTTATCTTCTAATTCCTTAGCTCACAATTGTTTAGTTTAAGAACAAAAATTATGCTCATGTACAGTGCCATAAGGGAAGGAAAATGAAGCTGAACAGTTCACACAAAATTATGTGTTGCTCCAAAATGTGAGGCTGTAACAAGCATGTGGTGTATGTCCATGACACCAAATAAGAAACGCAAATACTAATGCATATTTTCAGAAACATATTATATAAATATACCAATGGTAGCAAAACAACATACAAAACTGAAGAGAAATCAAACAAGAAGTAGCCAGTGTGAAACACATAGTTCTTCCACAGGAAGGATTTTTGTATAAATGGGATTTTATTCTTTTATTGTTATACTGATATGTAATAATATTATTTTAACCCACTGATAATCATAGTTATAGAACATAATTATATGTGTTGCCTAATGTTTAACTTTTTATGTTTATATGAGTATATCATGATGATCAGAAAATAGCACATAAATGTCAAGACATGGAACTGTGTAAAAGGTATCTTATGGTGACACAGATGAAAAAGATTAAATAAACTGTCCTGTTGTTAAACTTCATATATTTAGCAGTGGCTCCATGGGCTTAAATGTTGTAAAATTTGAAAGAACTACAAACAGAATGTTTATATTGTGTATCAACTCACTGGAACTCTGTGTACTGTTTACTGAATCCCCTTGTTGGAGAACTTACATGCTATGTGAATTTCTTTGAAGGTGTTCTAAGATAGTTTGGTCAAGCTTATGGAGACCAGTTATTAAACTTTGGCTATCTGACTAAATAAATTGTGATTATAATTTATACACTGTAATTATTATAAAATATTATTTAGAAAAGGTCGTTTTACTCCAGTATATCAGAAATGACTGCCATTGCCATTGTTATAGAATGTTGTCCTGCGTCAATCATGAAATCAGTTTGTGTTGAACCTGATGCCACGCCCACGTTTGCATGGTTCCTGTACAGAATTGGATAAAGCAACTTTTGTGACTTGGGTTACGTAGTTTCTGCAAACAAGAGATAAACATAACCTCTTCACATATACCTTAGGGCAAAAAGATTTATGATGTAGCAAATACATCCACTCACAGTGTAGCAAACCTTCCTGGTCTCTTTTCATCTGGGTATTGACTGAGTGAATGCATGAATGCATAAGGGGTAGACCACAATTATCTGGCCCATGCATCACACCCTTCAATGATCTGTTGTGCTTACCCTTCTAGTTAGCCCTTAATTGTAAACTTAAATGAAATGTAGGACTTTGTGTATAGGGGCCTCACAGTCACATAAGGTATGTGTGGCTGGTTCACCTTTTGCAGATAGAGTTATGTGTCAGTCCCAGTTTGAAGAGGTGCTCTTTTATGTGACATTGTCCTGTAAATTGTCCTACCACCCATTATAATTGGTTTCTGTTTAATTTTAACGAATCATTCTTCTGCCAGAGGGCCCTAGTATAAGTCCTTTTGCCTGTTTGAGTCCAGTTATGGATTCCCCAGTGTTTTTTACGATTTCTGTTTAATCCATGACTGCCTTCTTAGCGATTCCAGTTGATATGCTGCAAGCTGGTTCATGTCCTATGAACAGATGTTCAGATCCTGTTCTTGCCAGCTGATTGCCATCTCATTCCCTGCAATACTTTCCTGTTCTTGCCAGCTTATCTGTGTTTCATTACCAACAATAAACTCATGATCTGGCACCAATATCAGTTGAACTCTGTTATGCTTGGCCAGTTGTATTTATTTATTTATTCTCTATAGATCATTGTCACATGATGTAGGACAAGTCAGTTACTGTACATTGCGGATTACAATAAGAGAGTAAAGTTACAATACTTACAATTGTTTACAATAGATTACAGTAGATTACAGTAGTTAGAGTTCGTATAGTGTGAGGTGGAATCTATATTAGGTCCCCTCGGTACGTCAGGCTCCATATGTCCTATTGTACCTGTGCCGCGATTATGCTTATGGAGAATTTGATGGAATGAGAATTAGCAGGGGAAAACCTGCCCCAACGCCACCCTGTCCATCACAAATCCCACTTGACCTAGACCAGAGCGGTGGGAAGCCAGCGACTAACTGCTTAAGCTATGGCTTGGCTTTAGAGATATTGGTGAATTTGGTGATAGCACTGGTATAACGTTTCACTGTAGACTCCGCACTGCAACATCTCATTACATCTGCTCTCCCTTCCTGGTGCATCTTCTTGGTATCTGCAATCTCTGCAGAGTAGCCCATTCAGGTACATCTCCGACTGTGTTATCTTTGTTGGTGGAAAAAAGAAAGGAAAACTGCGCAGCAGGGATTCCCAAAACCGATTATTCATGAATTATGTGATTATAATTGAATAGTGTTTCTCTCACACGAGAGAAACTCGTCCACTTTATAAAAACAGTTATCGAGTATGAAAATTTTTAAGGCGTTGTAGATAAACACAAGTTTATCTACAACTCTATGGATGATTTGGTAGTGTATTGCAGTTCTTTTGCTGAGCATCTCAGACACCTGAAGGCAATTTTTGCTAGGTTTCAGAAGGCTGGGTTCACCTTGAATCACGATAAGCTTCGTCTGGCCCAGCAAGAAATTCCCTTTTTGGGACACTCGGTTTCGGCCCAAGTGATCCGGGTTGTGCCGGAAAGAGTAGAGGCAATTAGAAATTTTCCTCCTTCCAAGAACCTTAAAGCAGTGCATAGATTTCTAGGTATGGCTGGTTTCTATGAGTGATTTACAGACTGTTATTCCCAGATCACGGAACCGCTTCACGCTTTGTAGCGTACGAATTTTAGGTTCGTATGGGGTGATTCCCAGTAGTCCACCTTTCCACAGCTTAAGGAGGCCTTAGCAATGACCCCCTGTTTTGCAGATACCGGATTTTTCTTAAGAATTATCGCCATGTCCACTGTTCTTCATCAGAAAAAGGGTGAGTACTTAGCGCCAGTAGCTTACAGTAGTCAGTTGTTGGCCGTTGAACGTAGGTATTGTCTGTATGAGAGGGGGTGTCTTGCAGTTGTCTATGGTTGCGAGAAATACCGAAATTACTTGGAACATAAAGAGTTCTGCCAGCCTACCAAGAACCAAGTCCTCGCCTGGTTGTTGCTTCATGCTAAAGAGTTAATCAAATTGGACCTTGGGTTTTGTGTCCCGCGCCCTTTAACTTTAAGGTGAGTCACATTAGTGGGAAGGCCAATGTCATAGCGGATAGCCTTGGTAGGCAGTATGAGGATCCCTTAGAGCTGCCGTATCAAACATACGGCCTGCGGGCCGCATGCGGCCCCCACAGCCACAAAGTGCGGCCCCTCAACTTTCAGAGCTAATTGATATTAAAATCAGTATTAAAATTTTAGTAGAAATATTTTTTGTAAAGACAGTTTTCCAAAAGACCAGAAGACAAGTCTCACGCAGACATAAATTAGCAGGCTGCACGAAAAAGTGATTCTGAGAATTGTAGAAGGGTTTGTCCAACTAACGGTTTGTAAAGTTCGTGAAGGACGAACTATTCTATTTCAGAAGGTTAATGCACTAAAATCCGCACAGCCTCACCACCCCAAGTATTTCCAAGAATCCCGTTTGGAGGCGTAGTAAGAATGCAAGGAGAGTGGCAACTGACAGACAAGTGCAAGGGATTTCTACCTTGAAAACTAGCTTGCAACCCCCAGCCATTGTCTAATGGGCGGCTAGCAAACTTTCACTTTTATGACCAATGAGACAAGATACACCCTCCTACTAGTCCGGTAGTCTCTCGTACATTGTCATTCAGTTCATTTTCACACAGCGACAGGTGCTGATGTTACATTGTGATGAAGGTATAAAGGTTATAATTAAACATTAAATTGTCAACTACGAGTATCAAAATCTAATGTATATTTCTATTTTCAAGTGCGGCCCTGGACTATTATTTATAGGGCTGAGGTGGCCCTCTGTACAAGTTGAGGTCGACATGCCTGCCTTAGAGGTAGCTATGTTTCCTGGCTTGGTCTTAGGACACCTACCTGAGGCAATTCAGTCCATAGGGGAACATCAAATGGAAGACCCGTTATGCAATATTGTCTACCAGAAGAACATCCAAGAAGATCCTACGGTTAGAAGTTTCAAGTTGTATAACGGTGCGTTTTTTTTATCATCCTTCGCGAGCCCAAGTGAAGCGTTATATTCTTCCTGAACTGTTGAAACCTATGGTGCTGAAATATTTCCACAGCTCTATTCTGAGTGCACATTTGGGAATGACAAAAACGCGTAATCGTAGCAGTAAGGTGTTTTATTGGCCAGACATGAGAAGGGAGATTTGTACATTCGTGAGAGGGTGATGACAAGGCCCCTGGAGCGTATATTTATAGACTTCGTTGGCGTCATTGTCAGGAGTCTAAAGGGGAAAGTTGCCGTGTTGGTGTTGTTGGACGGCTTTTCTAAATTCGTCTGTATGCATCCTGTCAGGAGGGTTTCATCAGAAGTTGTAAAGAACTGCCTGTTGGAGAGATTCTTTCCATTCTTTCGAGTTCCCCAGTCTGTTGTCTTTGACAATGAAGCCGTGTTTGATCCAGAAGGTTCTACAACTTGTGTTTTTCGTGGGGAATTCAGCATATTAACACCTCGCCCTATTATCCCCAGGGGTCGCAAGTTGATATTTTCAATCGCATCTTGGAGGTGGCTCTGATCATTTATCACAATTATTGGCACACACGTTGGGACGAATATCTGTCATCCTTAGCTATGGCCTTTAACTCAGCATGGCATGAGTCAACTGCAGCGCCTCCTTCCTCTATATTTCTGGATAGGGAATTGAACAATCCTCTAGGGCTTAAGTGGCAATTATATGAACTCGAGATTAATAAGGATTCTAAGAGGATAGAGTATTTCTGGGAGGCGGCCTTGGCTAATTTAATGACGGCCCCGGCCAGAGTTGCTGAAAAATATAATGCAGTGAGAAGACGGGAAGAGTTTCGTGTGGGTGATTTGGTTCTAGTAAGGTTGCACCCGTTAAGCTCTAGGTCGCGGCAGTGTTCCTCCAAGCTAGACTTCAGGTGGTTTGTACCACTTATTATAGCAAGGTTTCTTTCTCCTGCGTCTGGATTGTTAGTAAACTCTGACACTGGAGATATTATTATAAAGGCGCATGTGTCTCAGTTGAAGCCATATTTTTCGGAGGAATAACCTTTTTTGTGTAGTTATTTGCTCTTTGTTCTGAGTGATGAAGCTTGAAACACTCAGATTCTGTCAGTGTAAGAGACATAGTACTAAGTCTTATCTTGGCCACGCCATAGCTCAAGCGGTTAGTAGCTGGCTTCCCACCGCGGCGGCCCGGGTTCAATCGGGTCTAGTCAAGTGGGATTTGTGGTGGACAGGGTGGCACTGGGGCAGGTTTTCTCCGAGTACTTCGGTTTCCCCTACCAATCTTCATTCAACAAATTGCTCCACAACCACCCTCACCTATTATCTGGGACTTGTAAAACAGGCCAGAAGCGGCCGCAGTACAAGGGACTTAGTCCCACCCCACTGTAAAGAAAGTCCTATCTTCCACTCTAGAGCGACAGCTATATCGTATTCCTTACTAGAGCTGTCCTAGGCCGGATAGGATTGGCTGAGCTTCGTTGACGACTCCCCCTCCCTCGGATGGGGGGGCGTCATCGTTACCAACAGTCTGCAGAGGTCACATCGCATCGCACCGAATCAGTACACCTTCCGGCTCCTGTGCTGTTGTCCGTCTGGGTCCGTTATCGGGCAGCGGAAGGAGCCAGGGAAGGGGAATATGAGCTGGTCAGCGCCTGGATGACTCAGCGGAAGTACATAGCAGATGTGTGTGCTGTTGAATGCCGAGTGGGGGCTGCATGGAGCCATATACTGCTGATACTCTGGATTCACTTGTTACAGCCATGTGCCATCGGGATATTTCCGGTAGACAGTCTGCGAAAAAAAAGTAGTGATAATTTAAATGAGCATGTGAACTCCTGACAGTATCTGGTCGCCTGTGAAATCTAAGACACTCATATTTTTCAGTGCAAGGGGGGATATAGAGCCATGCTGTGGACAGTATGCTAATGCGGGTACACGAATTCTGGCATCCTTCCGCTCTTTCCCAAAGCCCCCGCGCCAATATGCTGGCGTCCTTTATCGTTAGTCTTTACCTTCGTTTACCACGTGACCTTCCTTCCTTCTTCTTATGTTTCAGAAAGGAAGACTTGTGTCAGAGCGGTCGGACGAGCTAGGTAGTCAAGTAAGTGTTATGCCGCGGTATAGGAGGCAATCAATCTTAACACTTATACACAGTGGAACGGACGGGATGGTCAACAGGATGACTGACCGGAAACCGTATGAGATCATACCAGTGAGTGTGTACGGTATCCGCCAGTCAGCCATTCCAAAGTGCGCGCATAAGAGAATCATGCACCAGCCGAGTGACTGTGTATGAGCAAGTGATCAGAAGGAAATGAACACCCAATGAGAATAGGCTATTTCAGAGCGGATCCCCGCGTGAGTAGTACTTGCGCGACCCCCTGGAACCCTATAAAAAAAGCTGGAAAAGCCTTAATATGGAAGGAGTAGTTGCTCCTAGAACCAATGTTTGTGCCAGACATGAAGGGACCAACGTTCGGTGCCATCTTATGGCTGTGGAGGTTATGTGAGTACTTGCCTATATTCAGGTCACTGTGAGCAATTGCCAGTTCTTTTACATGGTGTAACAAGGATGAAGGAGTAACGATACAGTAGATATTTCATAATCCCAGCATAGAGGCCAGTGTACACGGCCTTAGGAATTGCAGCAGTTTCAGAATTCATAATGCTGTATTTTAGCGTCCTGTTGCACTGATTTCCATCCATGATATGTATACAGTTGCCGTCTTGCAGTGCACTCAATTTCACCTGTTACCTCACGACATGTTTCAGCAACATAGTGCCATCATCAGGTGCCCTAATTACGCAAATCTATTTCATTGCTTGCCTTTATAAAATTATTTTAAAAAGTATTTAAAAAGTGCGTATTTGTCAACTATAATGAATTTACACACACTAAAACTTGTTAAGATTATTCATCTTATGTGTTATAATTAAAACTCGTGTGTGGTTCTTCCAATATGGAGGTCGTTTTTCTTATATTCTGTGTAAACCTGCAACGTGAAAAAAGGTACTTATTATTATTACTTTCGGCGTTTATCTGTTATGTATTGTATTCTAATGTTTAGTACACACTGTGTGTTGTGATGTGTGTTCCCTTCTTAGCTGCGAGTGTTGTAATGTTGGATGTGTGTGTGTGTCTTCGTATTGATTGAGTTATGATGTGGTAGGGGTAGATGTGGTGGGGTTGTGTTATGTTGTTCTGTGTAAATTGTGTGTAATTCCTGAAATACTGGGTTATATATTTCCTTATTTATTTTGTTCATATGTGTGTTTTTCTTTGTTGTTCTGTATATATGATAGTTTTCTAATGTGTTTAAATATTGTCCTTTCTTATTTGTTGCTATGATATCCATAGTATTTTGTATTGTACCATATGCATGTCATGTGTTTAATATGTGTTCCGAGTATCCTGTATTGCTGTTATTGTGTCTTATGTCATGTATGTGTTCTTTATATCTGGTATTAAATTTTCTCCCAGTTTGTCCTATATATTCCATGGGGCAATCTAGGCATTTCATTCTGTATATGCCACTTTTGTTATATTTACTCGTTTGTGTTTTTGATTTTAAAATATGTTGTAAATAATTCTTAGTACTAAATGCTATTTTTAATTTTGTGTCACAAAATATTTTTGTAATGTCTCTTGTTTCTTTTCCTATGTATGTGAATGTTGCCCATTTCGTTTTTGTTTTTTGTTCTTCTGAATCCTCTGTAATGTTCTGTTTTTTTTGTAACGTTTTGGTTTCTTTTATTTGTAGTTATTTTAGTAATTATATCTGTGTTGTACTTATTGTTTACGAGTATGTTATTTATAGTGGCTATCTCAGTATCTTTTGCTGCTTTGGTGATGGGGTAATTATTTACTCGATCTATAAGGTATTTATTACCAGATATCTTGTGTTCTTGTGGATGACATGCGTCACTTGGTATTATTATGTCTGTTGCTGTGTATACTTTACGTATTAGGGTAGGTTAAGATAGTGCACTACATGTACATAGAGATTTATATTCAATTATATCATTTATTATTTCCATTGTCATTCCACATGTTGTTACTGTATATCCCCTAACCCAGTGTTACGCCGTGGTGACGGGGGGCGTGGAGGTATCCCACAGCTGTCACCATATGGCGCGAAGGGGGCGTGGAGGTATCTCTCCACCTCTTCCGCCATCCATGCCGTTGCGCCCTTGGGGAATGGCTGGTTGCAAGGCTAAGCACTTGGTACTTGACTCGTTAACTACCTCTTGGCTGTGAGTTCACAGTCCCGATAACACAGGGAGGTACGGGAGAACGGGGAAATAGGGGATGTGACTGTGGGGTAAGTCTTTAACACACGCATCCCCCTCACTTGGTCTACTTCCATCTACTAATATATACACTTATATACATACCACTTTCATGGCCGACAGTGGCCGGTTACGTACACATTGTAATTTAGAGGAAACTACACTTGGGTTCACCATCCCTAGTTCTCGAGATAATTCCTACGTCCCCACTCAGGGCCTACTCTCTCTGCCCTAACCCTGTACATGACACATTAATAATCTCTCACTGTATATCCATGACTGATATGAACAGTTCCACTTACTTGGTGTAGGAAGCTGATGGTGTCCCCTCACTTGGTCTGGCACGACCATGGCTTTCGCCCCCCGGGCCTCTGGCTGGCTACTCACTTAACATTGTACACTCAGATAGATTGATGTGTATAAATTGATTGATATCGATTCAATGATAGATGCTCTTCCAGTTGCGTCCGCAACCTTATAACCTTCCCCCTGCTGACTAATGTCTTTGGGGCAAGCTTCGCCCCTTCACTAGAGCGAATTTGCCCCCAAAGGTCCGTCTCTCGTTGGTCAGCTGGATAAAGAGGTTTGGATCTCATCAGGCTGTCTCGCTGAGTCGGCACTCTGTACGCTTTGGCGTACAGCCGCTCGCGCCTCTTCCGCGTGAATCAGCGGTCTAAGCAATGCGACAAATTTCTACTGAGGTTGCCCTTCCGCATTTTTCTACAAACATTACCCTTCGTCTTAACTTCTCTACCGTGAAACCAAGTGAACTTAATACCTAAAAGTTACAAAAACCTTGCCGAAATTCTACGGCATTACACCCAGTGAGAGGTATCCACAAGTGTCCCGATGGATTAGGCTACCATAACCCCTTGCGGCACAACATAAGTTTGCTTACCGACCGTCGGAGAATTGGGAACTCGAAAATTTGTTTCGATCTGTGTGCTTAAAAATTATGTTTGGATATTCTTCCGTCCGGCCGTTAAGGGTAAGGATGCTCATGGTCGCAACGGAATGAAGTTGATTCCAGAGAAGTTGCGACGCGCGTTTTAATCTTGAGTTATTATCATTATTTCCTTGATTTTGTATAACCTGTTTTATTCTTTATATTAGTCCTGTTCAAATGGGCCAGTTTTGCAGTTCGATCAGTCGTGACTGTCCATGATATGTCTTACATGGGAAACTGCTGAATTTTTTATTGTTTGTGCCTCGCCTTTTGTCTGTACGAACCGCTTCATTTCTGTATATTGTGTACGAGTTTGTTTTCTTTTTGGTGCGCTGGCTATTAAATATTGTGTTTGTTTCTTTCGAGAGCCTGCGTCTTTATGTTGTTCTCAGTAAATGCTTGGATACCCCATTACATCCCGGGGAGAATTGTTATGACGACAACAGAGCCAGAGACGAAGGCTGCTTCTCCCGAATTCTACCATTGTGAACACTAGTGGGTAAATGTACGAGAGAGAGAGAGAAGGGGAAAAGTGTTTGGTTTTCCCATTGTAATGCAACGAAACATCTGTTTTCCTTTCATCTCCGGGGAAACGTTTGTTGCTTAAGGTATTCCTAGGCAACGGCCTACTGTTATTGCGTTTCCATAGAAGTATTGCTTCCGGATTCCCGGCACACGACTCTTATGTTTCTTCCTTGATGTAAGAATTTGTGGGAACTGTTCACATTCAAGGAAACGCTACAGCGACAGCTCAGGTACTATTGCTTAGCAAATGCGAGTGAACAGTCATTGCTATTTAAGGTCTACAATAATGTTTGACTATGGGAAGCAGACACAATGGCTCGAGTGCTACCCAATCGCAGGCTAGAAACCATTCGCTGCCTAGCAACGGCTGAGTACATAGAGTTGCGTTTCAGCAGAACATTCAAGGTGGTACTGAGTTCACTATTGTTATTATATTATTAATCTTCAATTCTTCAAGTACGTCTTAGTATACTGTATAGCCATGAAAATATTATAGAACACTTCAACAAGTGGTTTTCTCTTCGTACATCGGCTTCCCACAAACTGAAATTTTACATCCATATAAAGAAGCAGGTAATATTATTCTTTAATCTTTACATTTTACACAGAAGACAGGAAGGTAAGTGATTCTGAATTGTGTGATGAGAAACGTTCCCTGAATTGATTTCTTTTTTTCCTTTTGTCGCTACAGCCCAAAGTTTGGCCTTGGCCAACCTCCATGAAACTTTCCATTTCACTTCGGTTTGCTAGATCTTAGTGCTTTGCTCATTTTGCTAGATAGTAAGTAGGATATTTGTAAGACTGGATACCCAGGTTAAATGCCAGGCGGCTGGCTGGAAGGCAAGGAGACAGAACCGCGGCTGACGACTCGCTTTCCTTGTCCGTCGATTGCGCTGTATTTAGTAAAGATTGTTTACGCATCAGTGGAATGACCCGGTCAAGTTTCACTCGCACGACAGTAAATCCTTCAACAAGTTGCTGACCTTTGGGGTTTTGCGCGAGCAGCCTTTCGTGAGTTGAGAAAATGTTGAATTTGGAATTGTGAAGTAAAAGCTATTTGAGGCATTCTGTTTTTAGTAGTTTCTCAGAACAGTCGTGCTGAAACAAAGTGTGCTTGTGGAAAGGAGTTCTGATAGCGCCATTGGTCATTATCATTATGATCAGCACGAGTGAGTACTTGTACTTGCCCGTGATCGGCTCACCGATTGATTGTTAGAATACAGATTCTGGTTCAATGGTGGTTAAGATAAAAATAAAAATTGTTGCTTACTTTTTAGTAGATTATGGTAGTTAAATTGAAAGAAGTTAACCCTTCACTGCGTAGCTTTGTATATCTGCAAAGCAATGTTTGAATTGAATTTCCGACGTTCTCCTTGAGACTTTTAACATTGCAGACTCCCTTGCACATTAGCAAAGCTCCTCGTTTTAAGTGGTAATAAGGAATTTCCAACCAGTCTACGTTACTATGGACAACAGCTTGTTTATATGTTGCCGTGAGAAGGATTCTCAGTTTGGCGCGTAGTGCCGTCTTGTGCAGGTTATTTGTTGTGGTTACAATCAACATTTTGTAATATAAAAATTATATTGGTTATCTAGGATCTTTAGTGAGTGCAGCATCGTATAACACATACTTCTACAGAGTAAAACGCAAGTAATACACATTTTCTTCTCTTTTGCACATGTTCAATAGTGCGCAGTATTGCTGCTTGACCATTCGCATAGTAATACTGAGTACGCGTTTCTCCATTCTTTCAGTTTCTTGTGCTGGTAATGATAAAAGTTTCCCCTGATGGATTCTTTTGAATATTGGGACAAAGGACAACGTAAAGTAATGACATCTAATGAATTGATGGCGCTGGAATGTCCATCTGATAGTGAAGAAGGGTTGGACTTAGACGATTCAGATGCAGACCCTACAGTAAAAATACAGGGACGTGGAACCGTCAGATAGTGAAAGCGAGCCTGAAACTGCTGCACAAACAGTGAATTCAAATACAAAAGACTCCTCTGTGGCTGCAGTTCCCACTTAGGACAAAAGACGAATTGATTCACAAAAACATATTTTTGTGGGAAAAAATCTAGTGCTCCTTTCTCTGGATACCTTTTCCCATTCGAAGGAAATACAAAGTTTCCCCAATAAGTTTTAGAGCTATCAACACCATATCAATTTTTTAGATATTTCTTTGCTGACGAAATAATAAGCAAAATTGCAGATGAAACTAATCTATACAGCATCCAACAAAACCCAAACAAGCCAATTGACTGCACCAGCTATGACATTTATAAATTTATTGGCATATGAATTGTAAGCCCTTTGGCTCCACCTGCTTGTGTCCGTGACCTTTGGAATGACATTACTGGAATTGAATTAATAAAACAGACTATGTCTCAGAGGAACTTTGAGAAATTGCACAGAAGCTTGCATTTCAATGATAATTCCAAGCAACCAGGCGCTCAAAACCTACTCATGATAAACTGTATAAAATTAGACCTATATTGGATTATATGAACCAGAAATGTTTGTCAGTGCCTATGACTGAACACCTGTCCATTGACGAGCAGATGTGTGCCACTAAGGCAAGGCACCATATGAAAATATACATGAAGGATAAGCCCCATAAATGGGGGTATAAACGTTTTGTGTTATGCGGGGAAATGGGATTTGCTCATAAAATCGAGATTTACAGTGGGCAAGAAAATGAACCGAAATTTCGACTTGATGGTGAACCTGATATTGGGGCCAGTGGCAACGTTGTGATTCGTCTGTCAAGAGAAATACCAAGAGAGCAAAATTACAAGATCTAGTTTGACAGATTTTATACATCTGTACCTTTAGCTGTGTATCTATTCAAGCAAGGTATTCAGTGTGTGGGCACAATTCAGCGAAACAGAATTCCAACTTGCAAATTTCAAGATGAAAAAGAACTCAAGAAGGTACCACATGGTTATTCTGAAGAGTATATCACAAGCTTTGAGTCAGTGGACATTTCCATTGTTTTGTATAAAGACAACAGCAATGTGTGTTTTCTTTCGACTTTTGTTGGAGAAATGCCTAAAATGAAGTCAGGAGATTTGACAGAAAGAAGAAGGAGCACATATTAGTGCCATGTCAAGCAGTTGTTACAGTTTATAATTCCCGTATGGGAAATGTTGATTTACTAGACAGCAACATTGGAAGACATCACATAAAACTGAGATCAAAGCGATGGTATCTGTGCCTGTTTTTTCATATGATTGACACCATTAATATTAATTCCTAAGTACTGTACCGAAGGACATTGATTGAAAAAGGTGTAACAGACATGCCAATGAATCAAAAGAAGTTGAGGACAGATTTGGCCCAAACTCTATGCCAGGCTGGCCCAGAACAGAAGAAACGTGGCATACCAAGCAACTCAGACCCAATAGAGAGTAAGAGGCTTGGACACAAAGGATCTTCGCTGCCTCCAAAGAATGTAAGATTATATCCCTTCATTCACTGGCCTGTATGGAATGAGAAGAGAACAACATGCAGACATCCTAACTGGAAATAATATACATTTGTAATGTGCGAGAAATGCTGAGTAAACTTGTGTCTGAATAAAGACAAAAACTGTTTCCGTCCATTTCATAATGCCTAAACTCACTAAAAATCATTCAAACAGCACTTCAGTAAATATTCCAATATTTTTAAACGATTTTTGTTAATTTTACTCCATAAAATACAAAGTTTCATTTTTTTCAATTTATATTGCTGTGTTAATAAATGTAATGTGTACCCGCAGTTTTGCACATGTGCAAGGTGACTACGCGCGATATATTTTTTTCATTATTTTTCCTATATTCCTTCATCAATCCTGCATATATATACAATTTTTAGAGTTCAGTAAAAAAAATTGTGTAGTGTAGGGTTAAATATACGGGTGTAGTCGAAGATTGTGTATGTGAAGTTGTTGATGGGTTGTCTGATGTAATTGTTTTTTGTTTACTATACATCACTTATTGTTTTTTTTCGCAAGGAAGTTTTTTTTGCGGGTCCCCTTATGCAAGCATATTTTCCACTGCACAGGTTAAAAGATACGCATGGACGTCCGATTGGGGGTGAATACTGTCACTGACCTCTATCGGGGCACAACATTAGACAGGACTCCTTGAGCGGGTGATCAGCTAGTCGCCAGGCCTCCACCTGTACACAAACACAGAAAAAGTACCCCCCCCCACACACACACCCACCCACAGAAACACAAACACTAAACATTCATGCCCTGAGTGTGTCTTCATACCCACGATCCCGGCTTCTGTGCAAGTGAAGACAGTGCATGCCTTAGACCGTTCTACTACCGTGACCAGAATTTCTTTTGGAATAAAACATTAAAAGTATAAAATGTTAATAATATACGGAACATACATGTCATCCATTTCAAAGGGTATACTCCTGATTGTTGTTGCCTATATTAAGAATGTATGTTCTGCATGAATGTGATATCCCATGTGCATGCCTGTGGAATTGTTACAGGTAAGGCTAGCTCTACTATATCAGCTTGTGACCAAACTGAATGTTAAATATTCTTTCTCCACAGGATAGTTCTACAACTAAGCACTAAAGGACAGTGGAAGGACTAGTACAAGAATCCCATGCACACTGTCCCTTTACGTGTTGCTGACATGAACAAACCGAACATTCCTCCAAATGCAGGCCCAGAGGTTATTGACTGGGAACCAACTGCTTCAGTGATAGATGATGGCTTATTGCCACCAGACAGGCCTGATGGAAGGCCTAGAATGACACGTGGTAGCAGCCAAGACAGCATATATCAATATGTACGTTTTATTACCACAAACACTCACATTCTCTTCTGTTCAGCTTATTTAGAAGACTGTTGGAAGTGTATTTCTAGTCAGTTACATACATTAATTACATGAAACTGAATTTACAGGATTTGTATTGGTTGGCAGCGGGTTTGATCTTCTCTATCTGCTTGTCGACAATATTTGCCAATGTGTGGCAAGTGAGGTATGTTTTGGTGAGTGGACGCGATGGCCCTTCTTATTACCTTATTCTCATCAGCATAATTCTCGAGGTAAATGCATATTAATCTGAAATGCAATGAACAATATAAGCCAAAATTCTGACACTTTAGCATATTTAATCCTTTGTCACACCTTACGCCATACACTTTCATTCGTTCTTTCATTCATATTTCCTGTTGGTCCTTCTGAAGCACTGGGCATCTTTGAAATGCTTCATTTCAGTTCAGTATGACTCCTGGACAAGGGATTGGCCCATCTCAAAAGCTGCTGCCTACAGACAGTGTAGTGGGATTCGAACCCACAATCCCGGCATTCGAGTGAGCCTAAGAAGACAGTTCATGCCTTAGACCGCGTTGCCACTGGGATCGGCCCATACACTTTAGTAAATTAAATATTTCCATTGGTGTGAATAACAAAATAAATCACAGTAATATGAAGGCAATATATTGAAGTATGAGGTCAACAGCTTTATTTTTGCTAGTCTGCAGGTTCCAACATATACATATTTTGAAATCAGTGATTCTATTCATTTCTTTTTAGTAATCAAATCTCTCATGTTGAACATTACTAGCTTTTTCCTCCCTCTTTCCATTGTGTGGTCCACAGTAGTGCTATCATCAATGTTATGATTAAGAGAACTCATCAGAAGTGGAGAAGCAGAACTATGCTGTAAACCTCAGATCTTTGGAAAATTAATATATCTGGCAATATACGTAGGTAGGCTGAAAAGTAATGCACACATGCTTGTAGAGCGCGACCGAAATGACCTTCAGAAGCACGCCAGGTGGCATGTGGAAGTAACATTCCCCCTCAATACGCATGCGCAGGTTTGTGGTCGTTGCGTTCATCCAGTGTATTTCGAGAAGCGGAAGTA